TCTGCTGTGCCTCTGACCCATACATTACCTGTCAGCACATGCTTCTGTGCCTCTATGTTTTCATATACATTATTTGCTCTTCTGAATGGTGTCCCCAACCCACCTTCTGCAGTAAGGCTGCTAGTTACACAGGTGTGCATATGTCACTTAACATGTCTTAAGCTTGGGGTCATTTTTTGACCAACTTGTGTGTGTCTCATCAGATTTGAGTGGCTGATTAATTTGATGTTGACTCTAATATGTCTAAAAGTAAGGTTCAGTTGAATAATATATCCTTATTTATTTATTTATTGCAGTTATTGGCCAGGGTTGGGTTTAAACCCCACCACCTCTGGCATATGGGGCTGGAGCCCTACTCTTTGGAGCCACAGGTGCCACCCCATCCTTTCTTTTTTTTTTTTTTAACAAGGACCTCAATATAATCTTTCATAAGTGGGTGAGGAGCAATTTGATTGATAAGAACAGATAGTTCTAACTCCACTGTCTATGACTTTGGGACAGTTACTTAACCATATTATATCTTAGTTTTTCTGTTTGACAAATGGAGATAATAATAGTACCTAAGTGAGACTATGTTTTTAAACTGCATTGGGGGTGGACGCAATGGTTCATGCCTATAAATCTAGCACTCTGGGAGAACAAGGAGGGAAGACTGCTTGAGTTCAGGACTTTGAGATCAGCCTGAGCAAGAGTGAGCCCCCATCTCTACTAAAATAGAAAAACATAGCCAGGTGTTGTGGCAGGCATCTATAGTGCCCCTTACTCAGGAGGCTGAGGCAGGAGGATCACTTGAACCCAGGAGTTTGAGGTTGCTATGAGCTAGGCTGATGCCACTACACTCTACACACTCACTACACTCTAGCCTGGGCAACAGAATGAAACAAAAGAAAACAAAACTGCATGGGACATGATGAGAGCTCAGCAACTGTCATCGTCTTCTTGTTGTGCTTATTCTCCTCTTCTTTCTCCTCCCTTTTTGGTATCATGATTGTTGTCCTATAATTAGGACTAAATTAGAGAGATAGACAAACTACAGTACAATAAATGGAAATAGTAGCAGAATAAAGCACTATTGGAGTGGGGAGAGGGGGGATAGGGGCATCTCCACAACTGAGAATGAAGATGTAGCTTGAAGAATGAGCTGAGGTAGAAAGGGCTGATCATGGTGCCTCTCTCTAAAGTGGTTAATGCCAAAGCACAGAGGTTTGGCTGGTCCCAGTTACCAGGCAGGAATCCTCTGATGCTTAATTCTTCAAACTTTTGTACCAAACAATATGTTCTATTTCTGTAGTATTCTCTGTCTACACTGTTCAGTATGGTAGCCACTAACTATTGAGCAATTAAAATGTGGCCAGTGCCACATTAATTTTAATTAATTTAAATATCTGTGTAAATAGTGGCTACTGTATTGGACACTACCCACCTAAGAGTTTCTCCAGATTCCTAAAATGCAGTAGCTGCTTACAGGCACAGTGGGGTCTCAGCCTCTGGAGGAACCAACTCTCTTCTCTCCAGATATGGGCCCCAGGTGGCCCCTTCTGCCCTGAGCATCTTTCTTTGTGCTTACCTGCTAACACAACTCTGGTGCTGAGGCTTTGAGTAAAGAAACTATTTCCTGGTCTAGCAACTAGATGTCTCTGTTTGGCTTCCGGTTAGCCCACTTTGATTTCTAGAGTTCTGAGTGCTTTGGGTGGCAGGAAATTCTGCCTTGCATTGACTGATCTCCGTTAGTCCTATTCCATTCCCCCAAGGCAGGTGCATGAGTTCATTGTCAAGGCTGGTTCTGCCTTTGAGTGAAACTTGGCTTCTTCCCCTGTTGTTCTAGGCTAACGTCCGGGTCTCATCTCCTTAGAGGCTGTGCAGCCTCCGAGAACAGTGCCAGCATTCAAGGAAATGATCTACTTCATGTCAGCTCCCCTCCAGGGCCAAAAGAAGAATACTGTCTCTTCCTGTTTCAAAAACCTTCAGACCCCTAATGAACCTCTATCCACTTACAGTTCTGTAGAGACTGGAAACTCCATTTTTATTTTTCAACCTCCCCAACCTCACATGTTGCTCTAACCTTTTTGACCACACAGTTCTCTCTAGCTGGCATAGCCACATTAAATGCCCATGTCTATGAAACTTTCTGTGATTCCGATAGCCCTTGCTCATCTCCTTTCAAGATTTTTTACAGCACTTAGTCTCCACCATACATTTTAACAATTGCAATCTTTCTTGTGATGTTTATTATTAGCTCATGTGTGTTGGTCTTATCTGCTGGCTAGATTGTATATCCTTGAGGAAAAGACTCTTTTCATATGTCCCACACCTTTTGGAACCCTGCCAAACATATAGTAGGTTCTTAATAAACCTTTGTTTGCTATTTTAATAGATGTATGTAGCCTAAAGAGATATAGGCTTAATTTGTTTGGAAAAATTGAGATTTATGTGCTTTTGAGTTTTACTTTTATATCACTCTTGGAAAGATAAAAGTTCAATTTTTCTAACATATTTTAATACAAACTTAAGCAGTAGCCTAAAAGTATTGTGGAGTTTCCATGCCTGCAGGCTTGATTATGATAGCTCATAGGTGAGAACTGTTTGGAAATATTACTGCATATTTTACAATATCTCACATGTAAACACCATACTGTTGCACGCACCTCTTCAAAAACCACTCTCTGTGGGTAGAGAAATATGTACACTACCCATTTGCAGGTTGGTTTTTCAAGCAATGATTCCTGTGAGCCATTTTAAAGAACAAGAAGCCTGAATTCCAGGCATCTGGTAGTTTCCTGGAAGTGCACCTATTACCTTAGTTCTGTACTTTTTCATATTAAGTGGGAGCAAAGATATATGCAGACCGTGACCCTGGTTTCCTTGATCTGTACCTTTCCAGTAACTGGCAATTACTTGCACACTCTCTTTATCACCCTATCACTCAATCTGACCCAGGTGGCCATTTCTGCGTGTAAATACCTACAGCTGCAGGAGGCAGATAGCGCCTGGTTAAGGTTTCTGAACATGTCCCAGCTTGGTGGCTTGTAGCAGACATAACCCAGAGAGGAGAGATGGAGAATAGGAGGGGTCACTAGGGTCTATGTTAACAATTGATCTGTAATAAGCAGCCGTGTCTCTGTTTTGTTTTCCATAAGGGAACATCAGGAATGAAACTGATCAATCAATTAATTAATCTAGCATGTATTGAAGTTATGCAATGTGGAAATATTGTATATTTTTTAAAAAATGATACAAAAACTGGCCTTTAACTTGCTTAGGAGTATTAGCCTTTCATGAGAACAGTGGCACAAACAGTACAAATAGTGAACTAATAATCAAGGTAAATGATTTTCAGTGGTTTTCCTTGGCTCTTGGGTCAACAGATGCAACTGATATTGCTCAGTTGTTATTGTTTATTGGAGGATTTAATGCTGAGTTGGAAGTGATTGAAGAATTAGCCTCAATGAATAGGTGAGTGATGGGAACTCCTGGCAGATTGCTCTAAAGGTCATTTATTTATCCAATGTGTATTGAACCACTATTATTTTCCAGACATCATTTTAGACTCTGGCTGGGGTCAGGACAGTAAATAAAAGGAGGTTCCTGATCTTTTAAAGGCTGTGTATTAATGGGACCCAAAGAGCACAAGTAAAGGCATTATATTTTGATAGTGGCAGGCTAGACCTTCATGAGAAGGAGGAGAATAGTGGAGAAGAAGGGTAAAGATGCAGGTGGGGGCTGGTGTCTGTGGCTCAAAGGAGTAAGGCACCAGCCCCATATGCCGGAGGTTGTGGGTTCAAACCCAGCCCCAGCCAAAAACTGGAAAAAAAAAAAAAGATGCAGGTGGGCTGGTGAAGTTTTTCATTAAAGGACAGTGATACTGATGACTTGGTTTAGCAAGTTTGTTTGTATATTCCTATGTATTTCTGGAATTTAACTGTTTTATTGATGTGGTCATGGTACAGTGTCTTTATAATAATCATGCGTAGGAAAAGTTTTGCCTAGTTCTTATGAATACTTGGTCTGGCAGCAGAGAAGTGGAAAGCCAGCTGACTTTCTGCTACTAAGAAGTGTCACACCTTCCAATTTCAGAAATTATAATTGCTACTTCTTCCAAACCTACATGTTCTTTCAAGTCATGAAAGCAGTTGTAATGGCAGAGAGCACTTCTTTGAAATTCTTAATTTATCATGGACAGGGTCATCACATGCTTTTGAATATCCTATGCTCTGTAAAAAAGCACCCCTCTGAAGAGGCAGGGGCTGAAGTTTAGCCCAGACTTGACTTGGGCTGCCAACCCTAGGGAAATAGAGGGCATCATGCACTTCTTTACAGGAAAGGACACCTTTTTGCAGTATACAGGTATGTGTGGTTTTGATGGAGAAGATTGACTGAGTTTGGTTTTATCTGGACTTGCTTTTGTTTTAGAGATGATCAAAGTTATCTTCTGATGACTAATGAAACAATCATGCAGTACATTCAAAAGCCACATTTTATCTGATTACTTATACCTGCTTCACCCACAAAAAATTTCAGGTGGCTCCCAAGCCAAGTAAAACTGATTTTCCTTTTTAAGTTGCCTGCCAAACTCATCTGGAGTTTGTTATATGATAGATGCACATTGCTCTGGGTTTCTGTTTTAAACACCATCTAACTAGGGATGCTTTTCTTTCTCCTCAGGTTGGTTAAATCTAGACTGAAAAGGCTCTGTCCCTCAGAAGTTGGACTCCTGAAAAATGTTGAACGAGAACTAGAATCAGAAGAAGAGATGTGATTTAGAGGGGCATCGAGTCTTTCCAGATAAACCTTTTATTTTTTGCATTGCTGTTCCTGGTTTTGTTTCTTGACCTTTTGTTTGGAGAACTGGCTAAGGATGACTCTCAGTGTATTCTTAGTATTTCCAATTTTGTTCGAGTAGTTGATTTTTAATGTTTTATTTTTATCTCTGAAAATACTTTGGATGATGAGTTCGTTTTGCACATCATGCACATCGTAGTATTCAGGGGCTAGAGTGACTTCTCCCAGGTCATCTACAGTTTGATGGCCACACTATGAAAA